CCGGTCCTTGGCGCCGGGATAGCCAGCACTCAGACGCGGCAGGCTTCTGGACGAGTCTCGCTTTGCACCTGTTTTTTTGTTGAACCAGCCATCGCTGGGGGGTACATCAATGCGAGCAGTTTGCATGTCGGCAAGCGTGGGAGCTTGTGGGCTGTCGGCAGAGAACAGGCAGGCCAAAGGAATCGGGTCATAGGCATCCCACTCCAAACCACCTCCAGTGCCCGGTCTAGAGGACACTCGATGCTGCCGATGGCCCAGTACAGGACTGGTGGCTAAGCACCGTAAGCAGACGGGTCTGGTGAGGAATATCGCTTTGTGCTGCTTGTGCCTCGTTACGAGAGCGAGCAGTGGCAGTTTAGTAATGCGATGTCCGTTACTAACGCAGTTGTCCTGGAGCGCCAGCCAGTCACGCTGGTTCAGGATGCGTGACTAAAGCCCCAGCCGAATGACAAATCGGCCACCAAATCCTTAATAATCACCACACTGGCCCGATCTGCATAAAAAGCGCTGATTTTGGCACTGCCGGTTCTTGGTCTCCCAGCTTTTCAGCCACTCCCAGATCTTCTACACATCCCTTGTATTTCTACAGCAACAACACAACAACACCAACAACACCAACAACACCAACAACAGCACAAATGTCCACCACTACAAAAATCACTAAGCAGGTCTCGCGAATCATCACTGCACACCGCCAGCGCGAAGGCGGCGGCTTTATCGTGCGCCGCCCAGTACCGTCCGGCAGCCTGGACATGGTTGACCCGTTCCTGATGCTCGACCATCTCGGCCCGACAAAGTATGGACCCGGCGAGGCTGTCGGTGCCCCGATCACCCACACCGTGGCCAGGAGACCATTTCGTACGTGCTGGAGGGCGAGATTGAGCACCGTGACAGCCACGGCAACCACGGAATTCTCAAGCCCGGGTGGGTTCAGTGGATGAGCGCAGCATCCGGCATCATCCACAGCGAGATGCCGACCGAGAAGATGCTCAAGGAAGGCGGTGTTATGCACTCCTTCCAGATCTGGGTCAATCTGCCTGCCAAGTACAAGATGACGGCGCCTCGCTACCAGGACGTTCCGCCCGAGAACATCCCCACGTTCACCTCCAGCGACGAAAAGACACGGATCAAGGTCATTGCAGGCAAGGTTGAAGATGTCACAGCCAACATTGACACGCGCACGCAGATATTCTTCCTGGACCTGCGCACCACTGGGCGTACGCGCTGGATCTCCCGAGCGGCATGGACGCAATGGTGTACAACTTCCACACGGAGCCGATCCTGGTTGGCAACGAGAAGGCAGAGGTGAAGGAAGGCCAGATGGCTGTCATCAAAACCGACGGGCAGCCGATTGACTTTGAGGCTGCTGGGTCGGAGGAGGCGCGCGTTCTGGTCCTGGCCGGCACCCGATCGGCGAGAAGGTTGCCCGCTACGGCCCATTCGTCATGAACACCAGGGACGAGCTGTACCAGGCGTTTGAGGACATGGAAACCGGGCGGTTTGGATCCATCCCCGGTCAGATGGAGCGCATGCAGCTAACGGACTCTGCCAATGCAGCCCGTGCGAAGGCTGGCAAAGAGTAATAAATAGTCTATCGAAGTAAATAGTTAGATAATGCGTTAATTGCATATTTCATCTAGCAACTGTGCGAAAGTTGCAGCGTCATAATGGCAAGAATATCAGAATGATGGCTGCGGATACATCATCACACCCACAAATCACCAATTATCTAGACATGCTTATATTCTGGAAGACACATTGCTGCTAGAGGCAAAATATCATTATCCACATTGCACTTATGTCTATATGATGAACAAAGCTCGTTTAACAGCAACAAGCGGCCGTGGACAAACAGCAGCTCTGACGACCGGGTGCTGCGGCGGAACCTCGAGCGGTACTGGTCATTATATTTTCCACGCCAGGATGTCGAGGCAGCACCCAAGAATATATCGATGATATAACCAAATTTGCAACCTATCTCAGACAAATGCCGGCTGCTTCAGCATGCAGACCAACGCATCGTGCATGTTTGACTATCAGACACTGGTGGCAGACAACCCTGTGGAAGACTTTGCGCAGCGGATCCGCAACGAGCCCGAGTATCTTTTGTGTTGCCTTGGGCTCGCTGTGTGTTTCGTGCTCAGCAAAGAGTATGGCGGTGAGGCCGAGCATATACTTGGAGACCACAAACTACATATCCAGCTGCTGCATCACGAGCCGCTGACACATATGAAGTCGCTTAAATCGGGGTACGTCGGCAAGTTGGTCACTGTGCGCGGTACTGTGGTGCGCACGACGCCGGTAAAGCCGCTGCTAGTACAGGCTGAGTTCAATTGTGCACGGTGTGGGACTGCGCAGATTGTCAAGATCGTGGATGGCAAGTACGAGATGCCAGTAAAGTGCTACGCTCAGGGATGCAAGAGTAAGATGTTTGATCTGAACCGGGGTGTGAGCCCAGGGACGCGCACAGTCGATTGGCAGCAGATTCGGAATCCAGGAAAAGATTAGTGACGACCCGAAGGATCCCGGCCGGGTTCCACGCAGTATTGAGGCTGAGTTGCTTAATGATCTGGTCGACAGCGTGGTGCCTGGCGATGTGGTCAACTGCACGGGAATCGTCAAGGTGCTGCAGTCAGACGAAGGCAGGGGCCGCGGCAAGCCGAACTCGCTCTATATTCTGTATCTAGATGCTGTAGCCATCAACAAGGTTGGCGGGAATGGGCCGGCAGAGGGGGACGGCGGAGCCTCAGCAGGCGCACAGGTGCCTGGCACCGACGATATGACGACCAAAGATGGGATCCATTTTTCACACAGGGACTTGGAGATGATTCGCGATATCCACCAGCAGCCAGCGCTGTTCCGGCTGCTCATCAACTCATTCAGCCCCGGGATCTTTGGACACGAGGTGGTGAAGGCAGGGATCATGCTGGCGCTATTTGGCGCACGTACCCGGTCCGACACCGAGAAGGGCAGCTTGCGGATCCGCAGTGACTCGCATGTGCTTGTGGTCGGTGACCCGGGGTTGGGTAAGTCTCAAATGCTGACTGCTGTGGGACAGATCGCCCCGCGTGGCGTGTACGTGTGTGGTACAAGCGGAATTTCTAGCAGTGGCCTGACAGTGACACTGGTTAAGGAGGCAGGGTCAGGCGACTTTGCCTTAGAGGCTGGTGCATTGGTGCTCAGCGACATGGGGTGCTGTGCCATCGACGAGTTTGACAAGGTCAGCTCCGAGCACAGCTCGCTGCTCGAGGCCATGGAGCAGCAGTCGATTAGCATTGCCAAGGGCGGGCTTGTGTGCAGCCTACCGGCGCGCGCCAGTGTCATTGCAGCGGCGAATCCCGCCGGCGGCCACTACAATAAGGCCAAAACTGTGGCCGAGAACCTCAAGATCAATGGTGCGCTTTTGTCGCGGTTTGACCTGATATTCATTCTGCTGGACCGGCCGGATGCCGACATGGACCGGTTCTTGTCGGAGCACGTAATGGCGCTTCACTCAGGCAGCAGCACGGCGAAGGAGGCACGGTTTCCATTGCACGAAGACACAACGCAGCAGTGTGAGGGCACAATGGCCAGCGCTGGCGGGTTGGAGAAGTGGCTGCGACTGAAGCCAGGGGAGAAGCTCGATATGATCCCGCCGCCGCTATTGCGCAAGTACGTTGCGTATGCACGCAAGTACGTGCAGCCTCGGTAAGTGGAAAACAAAAACAGGCAGGAAATGAGTGGTATGCGAAGCAAATCGGCTGCTGACAGTCCAAGCTTCAAATAGGTTGTCGCAGGAGGCAAAGGCAAAGCTGCAGAGCTTTTACCTGGAACTCCGTGCAAACCACCGGGCAGTTGACTCGACACCGATTACGACCCGGCAGCTGGAGGCCCTGGTGCGGTTGGCTGAGGCGCGCGCGCGCGCAGAGCTGCGCGAGACGGTGACGGCATCGGACGCCGAGAATGTGGTTGAAATCATGCGGTGCAGTCTGTTCCAGACGTATGAGGACGAGGATGGGCTGTTCGACTTTGGGCGGTCGCAGATGGGTACGGGGGTAAGCCGCACAAGCGACATCAAGCGGTAAGTGCATCACTGCTGTTGGCAGGGAATGAGCCTGTGTATAGCCTGTATATTGATTGTCGCCGAACTGGACAAATGGACAAGTGGTGGTTTTGTTGTCCGCCAGAAAATCCGGGCTGCATTGTTGGCATCTCAGGCACATGCTGCGTCCATGTTGCAGCCCAGGCAGCCACAGGGGGTCCGGGAGGGGCGGCTTGGCACGGGGTGATATGTGCCTTTGGGAATAGTTGGTCATATGGGCCTGCGCTCGCAGATTGGATCAGCAACCGACGTCCGCGCAAGAGGGCAGGGTGGTGATATACAGAGCAAGAGCACATGCATGGGCGATTGTGACGTCCATCTCATGGGCCACCTACAGGTCGCTCGAGGGATTTGCGTATGCAGTGGTTAATGAGAGACTTTCCACATTGAAGCTGAATGAGGCGCTAATCTCGTGTTCACAGTGTTCTTTTTGGCAACCTGTGCTGCCGTGTCTTTTCGCGACATAGATTTGTTCATCGGCTGCAGAGCGTCAGTGAGGAGACATACAACAACATGTTCACGTACTCGATGTTGCTGGACATTGCGACAAGTAAGTAGTGCCTGTGGACCGCTGCAGCGTGAGATGCCAGGTGACAGCCATGCTAACACAGTGCAGTTGATAGAGATGGGGCTGCGCTTCAACAACTTCCAGGATGTCATCGACAAGCTCAACAACCAAAACTACCTGCTCAAGAAGGGCCACAAATCGTATCAATTGACGACGTTCTGAATAAAGGATTAAGAGAGCCGACGTGCAGCTAGACGATTCGCAGCGACAGGATGGAGCGCACATCATCGGTGAAGCGCAGTGCGTCCAAGAGCGGCAGCAGATCCAGCAGTGCCTCGTCCTTTGGGTCGCTGTTGACCCAGGGCTGGATCGGGATGCCGTTTGTCTGGTTGATAAAGTACGACAGTGGCGAGTTGTCAATCAGCACGATCTGGGAGAGATCCGGGTCGACGGCTGTCAGGTCCTTGGCATAGCTGGTGTCGTGCGGGATACACGACTCGCGGAAGAACCGGCCCGAGATGTACTTTCTTTGTGCATCGAGCAGGTCGATAACCGGGTCCGCATACTCTGCCAGGGATGCAGTAAACACCACGACCTTGTACCACTCACTGACTTTGCGCAGAAAGTAGTCGACGTGCGGGCGCTTGTACACATAATACAGACATGCCACCTTGTCGATCACGACCTCGATCCGGTGGTGCGCCCGGTACGACCCCTGCGGCGACGAGTGGATCAGGGTCTCGTCCAGATCCAGCACCAATGTTTTCTTCTTGAAGTTGCGCGTTATCGACGAGGGCGGCGTGCTTGGCACCGCTGGCATTGAGTGGCGGTTTGCACGCTTCACCACCGCCAGCGAGTCATCCAGGGCCATAGACGTGGAGCCGGAGGATGCACGACGCCGGAGTGGTGTGCTCTGCGAGGGCTCGGGCACCTCGTCGATTGTGTGGGCGAGGGGCGAGGTTGTGCGACGCGGCTGGCGGCCAAGGGGCGTGCTGGCCGACGGTATCCGAGTGGTAATCGGCTGGTATTCGTCGCCGACCAAGGAGTGCGGGTTTGGAAGGTACTGCAAGAGGCGGTCGAGGAGCGGCACGCTTGTCAGCAGCCCATAGGCAAGCGTGTACAGGTATATGAGGGCAAAATAGACCGCGGAGAACCGCCGGGCCGGCTTGGGCCGCTGCGTCTGTGGCGGGCGAACAATCGGGCTCTTTTCGTCGGAAAACGAATCTCGCTGCATCCTGCTTTCTTTTGGCGGCCAGGAGCACGGATATATTATCGGCGGCGGGTTGTCGGAGGCAAGCAAAGGTGGACGGGGGGTGCTAGAGTTTTGGAAGGCGGAGGAGAAAATAGACAAGAGTACAGAAGCAGTGTGTAGAAATAGATCGCAAGCCCATGCGCTTGGGTCGGCTGTGGCCACTCCTGTCCCTCCCCGCATCTCCGAATTAAGAAGCAGTGGGCGCGATGGCCATTTTTATGGAGAGCGAAGCGTGTGAACCAAGCAGCGCTGATTGCGCGCTAGTGGATGGTGCTGCCCGATAATATTTCCTGCGCCCCATGCACCAGGCAGACGCAGCGCAAAATTTCAGCATGCATTGTGCATTTGCACACAAGCGAGCAGGAGCCACCACTTCCAAATGCCTGCACTGCCTGACGCCGACTTCATAAACCAGCCTGTATTTGATATGAATTCCTTTATATCCACTGTTTGCCGGGACGTGTGCGGGGTTCCACCGACTGGTGACTGCGCTCCGTTTTTATTGACTCCGTCCTGGTCCGTCCACCCCGAAAAAGGGGCAGAGGAAGGCGGCCGTTTGTTTACAGCCATTGGCGTCCCTATCTTGCTCAGGGTGTCCTGCCTCGGCAGGTGTGCGCGAATCACAAAAAATCGGTGTGGCTCGTTTTCCTGTTTCGCCCAGAGACAAAAACGAGGGCCCAGAAAACGCCTTATTTCCTGTGCCGTCCCTCTTTTCCTTTCCTTCTCTCTCTGCTTTTTCATATCCTTTCCATTTTCTTCCTTCCCGGGCCCTTGCTTTTTTGGAGCATTTTTCTTGGAACCCGTGTCTTTCAGTTATTTGAAGCGCCCTTTTGTTATTTCGGAGGAGCCAGCGAGCTTAAAAGTAGCAGCGCTATCCAGAAACACTGCTTTTATTTGGAGGGCCGCGCAAAAAGTACCGTTTACTGCCCTTCACCAAAACCGGCCCCTTTTTTCTTGCATGCCCAGTTAGCCTAAAAAGCTTATTCGATACGCTCACTATTCTTATTTCTCTGTATGCCTGAGCATTGGCAGTTGTTCCAGTTTGGTGGGCCCAGCTCCTAGTAAACGAGATCGCGCAGCACAGTTTATTTGCGTCACATTATTTATTTATTCCAAGAGGTAAATGGCTGGATGCATCGGCGAGAGTGCAGATAGTGTGGCGACGGCAGCAGGCATGGAGGGTCAGATGTCGCCAAAGAGTTGCACTGTGCTTATTGTTGACAGGCGGTTTCTCAAAGGCGTGTATCACACTACGACAAATGAGGGCAGTCCGCGCCTCCGCACGGGGCCGGCACGGGACGACGTTGTTTTCGTGCAGGAACTGCTTGAAATATACAGCCAAGGTAACAATGACGACAAAGGAAACAAGATGCGGTGGCCGTGGGAGGGCAAAGAGCGGGGGTTGTGCTAAAACCGGGTATCTGTAGTCGTGGCGGTTCTGTCTGGGGACACGGCGCTGCGGTGGATCTTCAACAACACGGGGCAGCGCACCATCATCGTGCTAATCGATGTGGACGATACGTTTGATCGCAGTAGCCGGCAAGGCCCGATCTATACGCCGCCGGCGAGCCCCGAGGACGGGAAGCAGTGCGGCTCGGACGCAGAAGGACCGTATGGCCTGGCACTCCTGCGTGTCATTGCGCATTATGCGGCGATTGGCGTGTTCCGGAACGTGGCTCCCATAGGTAAGAATTCGCAGATATAGTGTGTGGCGGGACGAGCGGTCAGGCCACGGGGGCATTGTTGTCGCATGCCGGGCTTCCCATGGACACATCTTTTTGCTTGCGCCTGCAGCGGGACATGTGCTGCAGCACGGGGGTCCCGGGGCTGCTGGTGGGTGTCACACCACCACCGTCTCCCATGGGAGTGGCCTGCCCAATGGATGTCGTGTCCCTGTGCCCAAATATGGCGTCTTGCGCATGACACCCAAACGCGTCAGTTCCAGCACACACGATGGGGGTGGGTTGGGAATGTCGTGTTGTGGCAATCCGTCCTTTTGTCGGGCTTGTGGCTCGAAAAGCAGCTTCACACATAGCTTCTCAGTTGCATTCTGAAATGGTGGGTTTTGTGAGGGGCTGCAAATCTCGCTTTTATTCGCCAGGCAAGCTGGCCAATAGTCTGGCCCGCCACTCTGGATTTTCCCTTTTTGCGGTGGGCCCAATGCCCTTTTGCATGCTAATCAGGTGGTTTCTGCTCTGTCGCTTGGAGAGGCGGCAAACCTGCTCCGCGCCCTCGACACGCCAAACGCTCGCTCTATGCGGCTCTTCTACGCGCCTCAGCACCCGCATTTTCGAGCGGGCAAATCGGCCTTGCAAAAGCTGTCTGAGCAATAATGCAGAAACTGCAGCAGCCATGGCAGCGGACAATCCCTGTATGCACACGCAGCTTTTTCAAGCCCTTTTGTGGCCCACCAACCCACCCCCCGCCATTTTCCCTCGTCTATGCGTGCTTCTCACTGGCCAGAATTTCCCACTTGGGGAGACACGGAGGCCTCTCAGTGAAGGGGGCATGGCAGCACCCGTTAGTGTCAGAGCACCGCCGCCCGCTGCCACCACCGCCGGCGGCCTTGTTACTTTCTTTCTGCCCGCCGCTGCCGTTTTATTGCTCTACCGACGGCCCTTTTCGCTCCTTTTCTCTCTCCTGACACCACCCCACCTGTTCTATATACTCTGTATTTTACTCGCCGCAAACAGCCTGAAGCTAACTACCTGCTCCCTTCTTCCTCATATTGCGCAATTAATTATTGCTCTGTATCTGTACCATGACCACATCCCTGCACACGATGGCGGCTTCCGATACGACAACACAACCGCACACCCCGCCGGCATCCGGATTCGACATGCAACGGCGACGCAACTCGTTCTGCTGTCCCACGACGCCCCGGCCAACAGTAGCCATGAGCACGTCACGGGACCCGGGCTTTATGCGGCAGGTGGCGAGCATGGGAGCACTCAATTACCTGATCAAGCCGGTATCCGCACAGACAGTGCACAGCCTGTGGCTGAATGTGTTCTCGTGCCCACAGCAGCCTATTCACGGCTCGCAGGACAGCGTCCTGGAGGCGCCGCAGCAGAAGATCTTCCAGCGGCGGATACGCACCGACGCGTTCAACGGAGCAAGCACTGCAGACGGGCGGAATGCAGCATTCGAGGAGGACTTTATCCGGCAGTTTATCCCGTCGATTGGTGCGACAGCACCGCCTGACGGGGATGTGTTTGGAGACGTGGTGGTCGACAGCGAGTACCTGGGCGCAGATGGCGCCGAGTCGGGCTTTATGGAGAGCGCAAGGGCGCAGCTGCTTCGGGCGCAGCTCCTGGAGTGGTCATTCAACCCGTGGGAGATGTCCAGGCGCGACCTGCTCGACAGCGCAGTTGTGATGATCATGGATGCGGCGGCGTGCGTGGAGCTGGAGCTGCGGGTGCCGCGGGTGCAGCGGTTCGTGGCGATTCTGGAGACGGCGTACTACGACAACCCGTACCACAACTTCCACCACGCAATCGACGTCACACAGTGCACATTCTACATGCTGCATTCGCTGGGGCTGTTCAACAAGTCGGGGTTCAGGCGGGCGTCCCTGCGGACCCCGGCGGAGACGTCGTTCCCGATACGCAGCATCCTGCGACCGGTGGATGCCCTGGCGCTGATTGTGGCCTCGCTGTGCCACGACCTGGGCCACCCGGGCCTGAACAATGCGTTTATGGTGCGGGCACGCACGCAGCTGGCGGAGGTGTACAACGACCAGTCGGTGCTGGAGAACTTCCACGCGGCGTGCTTCTCGATGATCATGTCGTACTACTTCACCGACTTCATTGCCCGCCATGCCGACGCGGGCAGCACCAGCTTTGACTACGAGGAGCTGCGGCGAGTGGCGGTCCACGCGATCCTGGCCACCGACATGGCGCGGCACTTTGAATTCATTGGGAAATGCAAGGCGCAGCACGAGCGCTTCCACTCGGGCTCCAATCTGCCACTGACAGCGCAGCAGCACGAGGCCGAGCGGTGTCAGCTGGCGGCCAGCATCCTGAAGTGCGCGGATATCAGCAACATCGTCCGGCCATTCGACGTCTCGCAGCGGTGGACGAAGCGGCTGAACCGCGAGGTGACACTGCAGGGCGACATTGAGGAGTCGCTCGGCCTGCCACGCAGCATCGTGGTGGACACCGACAATGTGCCCGCGTCGCAGATTGCGTTCTACGAGGGCTGCGGGCGGCCGCTGTTCCAGGCGGTGGCGGACCTTGTGCCCGAGCTGCAGTTTATGCCAGAGCAGCTGGAGCACAACATCCGCAACTGGACCTTCATCAAGGCGCATGGCCGTGTGCCGGAGATCCCGTACGGCCTGAAGCAGACCGTGGCCCATGATGTCAGCAGCACCAGGGCTGCGTCAACAGACTCGGCGCCCGATTTTTTTCCCAAGCGGTCGGTCACATCCATTTCGTACACGACTAGCACACTGACTGTCAACACCGCGAACAGGCACGGCGATGAGTCGTGCAGCCATGGCGAGGCGAAGCTGCTGGCGGCGACTGTGCCGTCACCGCCCGACAGCCAGCATTCTGATTCTGCCACAACCTCTGGCGTGTAAAGCAACCCCCCCTAAAATATCTCTCTTTCCAAAATACTCCTTTCTTTCTTTATCTTTTCCGCCCTCGTTTCCAGATTACATTATTTCAGTTACATGTACAGCTAGCAGTAGGACGCCCACCACCAAGCGGTGGACGTGCCAGCCGAACTCAGCACGCAGTCCGAGCAGAGGATGTCATTTGTCACGTAGCGGGAAGGAAGCGCAGTTTTCATTGATATTGGGCCGACCAGCACACGGTTTACATGCTGTACAACAAGGCCAATCTACGGCTAATTGGCCAACAGCTGAGCATGTCGACCCGTTATTTATAACCTCGCTCTTGCAGTCTTAAATGGTAGAGATGTGCGCATCATGGGTCGTCTTGTGTAAAGGTGAAGCGATGCTTATGCCTTGAGCCACTCCTCGTTGGTCTTTTTGCACGCCTCGGGCGCCTTCGAGTAGACCGCCGCCAGACGCTCAGTGGCGAGCTGCGCTAGCCTCTCCAGCATCGGGCCCTGAGGCGCGCCCTCGACCTTCAGACTCGCCGGCTTCTTCCCCTTGCTGGCCGCGTTGACCCCGATAATCCGATCAGCGCACAGCTTCACGCCATAGAACCCCCTGATGTTGTCGGTCGAGAGCTCAGTGACGCGCAGAAACTCCTTGAGCGCCTTGTCCAGGCTGCCCATCGAGTATAGCAGCTCGGCGTACTTTAGATGGAAATAGTGGTTGGCTGGCTGCTGCAGAATCACCTCCTCGAGGCAGAACGCAGCCTGCGCATACATGTGCTGCCCAAGGTACAGGTGGGCAAGCTCAAGCCATGCCTCAAAGTCGTTCGAGTGCGTGTCCAGGTACGTGTTGAGCTCGCCGATGGCCAGCGCGTGGTCGCCCGACGCCTTGAGCATGGCGATCTGCCGCTTCGCCGCCAGCACGTTGGTTTCGTCGGCAGCCAGCATCTCCTTGTACAGCTGCTGGGCCTCCTCGGGGTGGCTCAGGGCCTCGTTGATCAGCCCGTACAGGCGCTTGACGCGCTGCGAGCCCGGGAACTGCCTGTAGAGCTGGTCCAGGATGCTCTTGGCCAGATCAAACTGGCCTTCGTCCAGGGCGGCCAGGAACACCTGCTCGTACACCAGCCAGACTAGAGTTGTGATTAGTTGCAGTTGCCTCATCTCGCTGTGCGCCCGCGCATTTTGGAAATATAAACTACGTACTCTCATCTCCGGCCTGTCTGATGGTGCCCTTGTTCAAGAGGGGCTCGGCAAGCTTCAGGACCTCAAACGGACGGCGCTCCGAGGACTGTCTGATTTCGCCGAGAAGTTCAAGAGCCGCGCTCATTCTGTGTAAACTGAAGTGTGAAGAAATTAAAACTAGATAAATAAAAAAAAAGAAAGTCAAACGGGAAGCGAAAAAGCGGGGGACTGGAGCAGCCATCAGCGGGCACGCGTGTCTGATTTAAAATCGTGATGGCAATAATCATAGCACCTTTTTTTTTTTTCCTTTGCTCCACACAAATTCGCATTTCTCAATGTCACAGCTACTCCGGCTACGGCCCACGCTCCGACACACACGGCGCCTCCGGCGATGGGTCAGCACACGGCACAGCGAGCTGGACATCCCAATGCTGGCGGCGAAGCTCCGACAGGGCGTGTTTCCTCGGCAAAAGTACGCAGCGGCGACAACCGAGCAGATCAAGATCGCAGTCGACCACCTAAAGTCACAAAGCATCTACGGCAAAGAGACCGAGCCCGTGGCCATGGTCGACTTTTCGCCGCCGGCCCTCATCGGCAACGACATTGACACTCATTTCCGGCATATCGGCAAGCTTGTCGCAGA